CCTATCTGATGTTGCAGCCCTGAGCATGTTGGCAAGCACCTTTTCAACGATCGGGCCATCCCAGCTTGACTGTTTGTGAGCCAGTGCTGCACCAGGGTTTGGTGCTGGAGCAGCAAGAGTCTCCCATTCAGTGATGGCACTGGCATAGCTAGGGTCACTGAGGTTATCAAGAAGAATTTGTCTTATCAACTCGTTTGATGCTATGAAAGAGGATAGGAAAGCTGGTAGAGGAATCTGGGAGGATCTGCGTACTCCTAGCCCCCCAAGCCTGACCGGAAGTGAGGTTTGCAACCACTGTCCATCTTTAAGCGAAAGATTCAATATACTCTCTAGCATGGTCTTTAGGAGAAAGTCATATTCCTTGAGTTTTGGATTGCTGAAGGCTGGGGAGCATCTCAGAAAGTAGGTAAGTTTTCGGATTGATAGGCACCTGGTGAGTAGGTAGAAGGCATCATGTGTGTCAATGTCTTTCATCCTGCTTTCCATCGTCCGGAGGTCTGAGACTTTTTTTTCTAGGATCAGATCGATGGCATTGGACCCAAGAGGAGCACCAAGGAGAGTGCTATTGGCTGGATCAATGGCTCGTGCTTCTGGTAAAATGGCGATAATATTCTGGATCATCTGTTGATTGGTAGAAACTATTTCACATTTGGTGGGGTTTAAAGAAAGGCCCAGGCTTTCTCCCATGTCTTTAATTTTACTGATGTCTTCTAGGAGAGATTCTGTTGTGCCAGTTAGGGTACCATCATCCAGGAACCAGATATTGAGCTCGCTCCTTGATGATCAAACAGAATAGAAAAGGGGCGAGAGGGTCCCCCTGTTGCACGCCCTCTCATGAGTCAATTTCATGGTCCCCAAACAATAGTTTGGAAGTCACACTATATATATATATATATATATATATATATATATATATATATATATATATATATATATATATATATATATTATATATATAAAGCCGCTTGTTATGTAGAGCATTTCAGGTAAATTAGGTCAGTTTTGTTCCAGGATGCGACCCACACCAGTCGATTAACATCCAGGCACATTTTACTTATGGGGAACATAGACAACCGGTATAAAGAAACACGCCCAATGTTTCTACCCTCGCTGGGAATCGAACCCAGACTCTCGCTGTGGGAAGCGAGAGCTTTAGCTACCAGGCGATGGGGCCTGGTAGCTATTAGACTGGCAGAATGCCTGGTAGATTTAGATTTTGCCTCCGAAGTGGCTAGTTTATTGTGCACACCATATGCATCTTGTGGACGGTAGCGCAAGAGCATACGGATACACAAAAGGTCTAGGAACTAGGCTCCAAAAAGGTTAACAGATGTACATATGGGTTTATATCTACATAAATACAGTTCACTTATCTGTTACAAGCAAATTTAGGAAATTTGCTTAGTATATCTGGTATCTTATTTTCATTAATAAGATGTCTTGACATGTCACATAGGTTATTATACTGTCTCTGTATTCCTCAATAAGTGGACAATTAAGCACATAGTGTTCAAGACAGTAACTATATGCCTGATCACACAATTTGCATTTCGTTTGATCATCATCTGTCTCTCCCAAACTGTCAGAAGTACTTGTAGCCAAGCCTAAGCCTGGCCACTACAACATCAGTCAGTCTGTTCACATTGCACGTTGCTCTATAAACATACTTATCTACGTTCATGTTATCATAGTGGGTTATAGATCTACTCAGGCTTCTAACTGCATTCCTAAAACAATCATTTTCATTATTTACTTCTCTCCTAATATTATTCCTAATGCTAGACACAGATTTACCAAAGTTATATTCTACATTCTTCTTCGGGGTACTCTTCTTGGCTTACATATCAACTTTATCATGAAGGAGTAATCCAATGTGTGATGGGATCCATAGCAATTGTACATTAATTCCTTTGTCCCTAATTTTTGAGTATCTATCCCTGGCTTCTCTAATGAGCATGTTGTTGGAGTCATTATATGTGTCAAGAGCCTTCAATGATGACATAGAATCAATAATGATGATAGAGTCAAGTTCAGTGTCACAGGCTAGCTTTAGCGCCATTAGGATTGCAAACAATTCAGTTTGCAATGTAGACGCCCAGATGTTAATTCTTATGCCTAACTCAACAAATTTATTATCGTTCTTAACTAGGGAGGTGGCAACAAGAGCAGGTGCAGCCCTGCCAGAAGACTCCTGTTTAGATCCATCAGTGTATATAACCTGTGATAACTTATTACTACCAGCTAGGCGAGAAATTTCTTCTTGAGCAGTTGCTTTAACAAGTGATTTAAGGAAGAGATTACTAGCAATGAGTTTCTTGGGAGGGACTTGCAGGTATGTGATGTTAAATGAACACATCTCCCATGGAGGGATGAAATTCTCTTGTTGTCTATAGTGATACAGTTCATGCAGGTTATAAAACTTAATGCAATTGCATGTTTTCACAATCTATTTAGATCTGTGTGTATTTACTTCTAGACACTTAGTAAGGTTCATTGTGACAGTGTCTGGTTCATTTCTTAGCATTCTAATACCGAGTACAGTGTTAGTCTCAACAATCCTATCACTGATACTAGAAATACCAAGCTCCGTCCTCATATTAGGAACCTTTGTAGATTTGGGACACCCAAAAATAATTCTGAGAGCTTCATTTTGCATTAACTCCAAGGGTCGGAGAGAACTTTCTCTAGCTAATATCAACATGGGAGCAGCATAATCAATTAAGGACCTAACTTAGGCTATGTACATCATTCTCACGATTCTCACATTCGCACCATAGTTGGGGTTGTAGCCAGCAAAAAGCTTTGAGAGCATTTAGCTTATCTTTGCATTTCTTATTTAGTTGTGCTAGAGTGGATTTGTTAAAGGGTACATCTACACCAAGATATCTGTAAGTTTTAACGTAGCTAATGTTTTCACCCTGCAAATAGATGGGTGGGGGATGTCGTTTGCTTGTTAATATCCTTGTTTAAGAGGCAGATATTATGAGGCCTAGTCGATTACAAATTGCTTGAACTTCATTAAGAATGGTACTTATCTTCTTATGCCCTGTTGTATGGATCATGATGTCATCAGCATAGCTTATATCTATATGTTTAGGTGAGGCAGGTTTAACATTTAGGAGAGCATTAATCAGAATATGAAATAGCAAGGGACCGAGAACTACTCCCTGCGGTGTACCTAAAGGCATTTCTTTAGACACACTTCTAAAGCCTTGGTAGAGGACAGAGGATACTCTGACAGGTATGCTATCATCCAGCAGAGTAAGCTACCACCAATATTCATTTTGGCTAGTTCATGTAGTATAACGGTTCTGTTCGCAATATCAAATGCAGATTTTAAATAAAGAAAAGTGGTAAAACTAGTAGAGGTGTGTGCAGTGAGAAAGGTGGAAATGCAGTTCTGCACACTTTTACCTTTCATCAACCCATAGATTTAGGGGGAAAGTTGGTGTCTGATTCTGTAGTGAAGGCTGGCACCCCAAACAGGATGAGGTTGAAATTAGTCCCTGAGGCTCCATGACCACGTATGTCCTTGCACCAGGGAAAACATGCTCAGTACTGCTGAGCACCTGGCGTTTAAGGCATTTTAGTCGTCTCTTACGACACACTTGGGTTACGGAGTAACAATTCTGTTCTACTTTCCCATGGAGATAAGAGGAAATAAACAAGGACAAGAACTAGCAAGAAAATAGAGGGGTGTGTATATATATGCTTCTACATGGATGTGTAGTGTAACCTAGGTGTAAGCAGTAGCAAGACGTACCTGAAATCTTTTATATTTATGAGACAGAAAAAAAGACACCAGCAATCCTACCATCATGTAAAACAATTATCAACACATCGGTCGTCTCCCACCAAGGCAGGCTGGCCCGAAAAAGAAAAACTTTCCATACTACGGGCGGGGATTGAACCCGCGACCAGAGAGTCTCAAAACTCCAGACCGTCACGTTAGCCACTAGACCAGCTAGCCACAATAAGATTCGTCCAACTAGGTATATTTCTACACCATAGGAAGGTTAGCATAGGCACCACTGTGACCACAAATGCAAGTTTTTACAGACGAATTTGTGGTCACAGTGGTGCCTATGCTAACCTTCCTATGGTGTAGAAATATACCTAGTTAGACGAATCTTATTGTGGCTAGCTGGTCCAGTGGCTAACGTGACGGGCTGGAGTTTTGAGACTCTCTGATCGCGGATTCTATCCCCGCCCGTGGTATGGTTTGTTTGCAATCGTGTCATTACGATTTCGTGAGTCAAGAAAAACTTTCATCATTCATTCCATTACTGTCTTGTCAGAGGCGTGCTTACACTACAGTTTCAAAACTGTAACATTATTAACACCCCTCCTTTAGAGTGTAGACACTGTACTTCCATCTCCAGGACTCAAATCCGGCCTGCATATATATATATATATATATATATATATATATATATAATATATATATATATATATATATATCCACTTCTCCGAGGCTATGGGTCCCACAATTTACACCAGAGGTGGACCCCATCATATATATATATATATATATATATATATATATATATATATATATATATATATATATATATATGTCGTGCCGAATAGGCAGAATTTGCGATCTTGGCTTAAATAGCAACGTTCATCTTGCCATATAGGACAAGTGAAAATTTGTGTAGAAGAGTATTGCTTTCCTTAACAAATTTTGGTAACTGAAAGATTTAAAAAAAAAAAACTCAAAAATATTGCTGGATTTGTTGTAAATTATGTTTCGAAATCCCTTGGATTATCACACCTGGAAAAGGATAGACTATTGTCCTTAGTCTAAACAAATTTCACTTAGGGAAACTTGAAATTAAGTTTGGAGAGAAATTCTCGAGTTGTCAGTGTCGCATGACAGAGAAAAAAGATGAAATCCAAATGTCTCAGCTGAATCAGCGTCCTTGTTGCTATTTTTGGAATACTTCACAATTGTACAAATATATTTAAGCTGGAAATAGGAATGAAAATAAGTTACCTGTGATATCATAATTTTAATAATCAGTTTACCATTAACCGTGAATTTAGATTCTTTGACGCAAAGTTTAAAAATATCTAGAATGATAGCAGGAAATAAGATTAAATAAGATCTGTGTAGCGAACTTAGTTTGACAGCTTTATTTCTCTTTGTTATCCAGTGGGTTGTAGTCAACATATTATAGAGACAGACAAGTGGTCCAGCCACCAGGATCAAACCTGTGTCTCGGATCCACTGAGAATAACTTAACAGATGTTCTAAAATTCACAGGATTAGGGCAACATTTTAGCTATGTAAAAGATAATAGCCGCAGGTCATTGATAGGAAGAACTGGCAGTTGTCGTCCTCATAGGAAATAAGTCAGCCTCTGATCTGCAACAATATATACATGTTAAGGAATTGTCTTTCATAGTTCATGATCAAATAAAAAGTTTCATGCATTTAAATTTGAATATATATATATTTCCAAATGTATTTTTCATCTATTTTTACGTTCAGATCTCTGGGTGATTCAGTAACGAGACAGAACCACAACATCCCCATTTTACTTACCACCTTCAAAACTTAATTTTGGCTACCCATTTTCCGTGAATTCCTTCACATACATTATTTTCTTTACACCTCGACATGTCAAGTCTTCATGTGCTTGTTGCATGCTCAAGTCCAGGTTATGGAGACCATCTCACTGCTTCTGACTCTTCCTGCCACATTGTCTAACATCATTCTATCTCAAAATTTATACACCCTCTCAATTAGCATACCTTGTTCCATTATTTCTAAGTGATCAAACCACCTCGATAACTTCCTCTTCCTAAATTGTACATTTAATACGACCTTTCTCTCTTATAATTTTTTTTGCTTTATTTTATATGCATATAACTGAAAATACACACTGGTTTCAAACAACAGATCTCCACTGTCTCCAGATTCCTCCTCGAAGGAACTTTGAATAACAATGCTTTATATCCATGAAAAAGTGTTGGCGTTTTTATACCTACATTCCATTTTCTGTAAACATTGACAATATTCTATCTTTACACACCTCAACACTATCAACCATCTTTCCTTCATCAAATCTGTGATTCACCTCTTCTTTCATACATTTTCGTAAGCCTTCTTATAGTCAAGGGAAATGCCACCTACTCATCCACTACTTTCTTGCTTATTCTCTTTTATCTTATCACAGAGCTTCGGTTAGGTTGGTAAGACAGGATTTACCTTCTCTAAGTCCAAACTAACTGTACTTGATGACTATGGATTTAAAGGTGCTACACAACTCTAAGTTATGTTTTTACTTACCTTAGACAAGTACAACAAGGTAACCAACCAGCAGTTCACTGCGGCTGTCTATCCTGTGTTTTTCATTGATTGGTAGAATTTTATTAGTGGCTCACAGCGCCTTTGTTCATTGTTTTATTCTTTGTCTTAGGTTTATATTTCAACTACTGTTGTAATAAAATTATATAGTCTCTGCTGAGTTACAGTATTCTCTTTTTGCTCTTTGCTGTTCCTCACTGAGCATATCATAAATTCTTTTTTGAACCAAAGTTCACTTTTCACAGACCTCGTTAATCGCCAGTTCTTCTCCTCTTTTCTTAAGTTGTATCACTTAATCCTTTAGCTCTTCTACTTTCTGATGGACTTTCGACGCCATGTCACGTTTATATTGATGCTCCAGCTCTCACCCTCATGTACCTTAATCTGGCTTTTCTGTTTGCGTATCTATTGTTTTTTTTTTCAATACTGAGAACTTTCACGGCCCGCATAACGGAGATAAAACACCTCAATTACTGGGAGCGCTTGAGGTTTCTAAACCTGTATTCCCTGGAACGCAGGAGGGAGAGATACATGATTATATACACCTGGAAAATCCTAGAGGGACTAGTACCGAACTTGCACACGAAAATCACTCACTACGAAAGCAAAAGACTTGGCAGACGATGCACCATCCCCCCAATGAAAAGCAGGGGTGTCACTAGCACGTTAAGAGACCATACAATAAGTGTCAGGGGCCCGAGACTGTTCAACTGCCTCCCAGCATACATAAGGGGGATTACCAACAGACCCCTGGCAGTCTTCAAGCTGGCACTGGACAAGCACCTAAAGTCAGTTCCTGATCAGCCGGGCTGTGGCTCGTACGTTGGTTTGCGTGCAGCTAGCAGCAACAGCCTGGTTGATCAGGGGCTGATCCACCAGGAGGCCTGGTCACAGACCGGGCCGCGGGGGCGTTGACCCCCGAAACTCTCTCCAGGTAAACTCCAGGTATCCAGGTAATACTGTGCTTTCTGTAGTTTTCCCATGCTCTCTGTCTTTGGCTCTCAATACCTATGATCATATTATAAGCACTCTTCTAAGATTTTTCTCACTGGTATTTATCTGTCCACTGCCTCCCGGTTCTTTCCTGCTAGACACTTGCTCGTTTTCTCCTTCCTCTGATTGTATTCCGGAAGTCATCTGTAATTTGTTTTTCTCTCTTTTCATTTTCTAATCTTCATTCCAGATTCATTTCCATCAATTAACTTTAAGAACAGCGTGATTGCTTGCTGTCACTGAGTACTTGTATTTTATTTCTCCTCAGGAATAAATGTTAGGATTAATATCGCTAAATAATCTCCTTCTCTCTCCAACACTAATTAACATCCATATATCAGGTTCCCCGTGCAGTTCAAATTTTATTCTTTTACCTGAAGTTTACCTGGAGAGAGTTCCGGGGGTCAACGCCCTCGCAGCCCGGTCTGTGACCAGGCCTCATGGTGGATCAGGGCGTGATCAACCAGGCTGTTACTGCTGGCTGCAAGCAAGCCAACGTACGAACCACAGACCGGCTGGTCAGGTACCGACTTTAGGTGCTTGTCCAGTACCTGCTTGAAGACAGCCAGGGATCTATTATTAGTTCCCCTTATGTATGCTGGGAGGCAGCTGAACAGTCTTGGGCCCCTGATACTTATTGTGTTGTCTCTTAACATGCTAGTGGCACTCCTGCTTTTCATTGGGGGAATGTTGCATCGTCTGCCGAGTCTTTTGCTTTCGGAGAGAATGATTTTCGTTTGTAAGTTTGGTACTAGACCCTCTAGGATTTTCCAGGTGTATATAATCATGTATCTCTTCCGCCTGCATTCCAGGGAGTACAGGTTCAGGAACTTCAAGTGCTCCCAGTAATTGAGGTATTTTATCTCAGTTATGTGCGCCGTGAAAGTTCTCTGTACATTTTCTAGGTCAGCAATTTCACCTGCCTTGAAAGGTGCTGTTAGTGTGCAGCAATATTCCAGCCTAGATAGAACAAGCGACCTGAAGAGTGTCATCATGAGATTGGTATCCCTAGTTTTGAAGGTTCTCATTATCCATCGTGTCATTTATCTAGCAGATGCGATAGACACGATGTTATGGTCCTTGAAGGTGAGATCCTCCGACATGATCACTCCCAGATGTTTGACGTTAGTTTTTCGCTCTATTGTGTGGTTGGAATTTGTTTAATACTCCGATGAAGTTTTAATTTCCTCACATTTACCATATCGGAGTAATTGAAATTTCCCATTGTTGAACTTCATATTGTTTTCTGCAACCCATTGAAAGATTTGTTTGATGTCCGCCTGGAGCCTAGCAGTGTTTGCAATGGAGGACAATGTCATGCAGATTCGTGTGTCATCTGCAAAGGAAGACACGGTGCTGTGGCTGACATCCTTGTCTGTCAGATATGAGGATGAGGAACAAAATGGGAGCGAGTACTGTGCCTTGCGGAACAGAGCTTTTCACCATAGCCGCCTCAGACTTTACTCTGTTGACTACTACTCTTTGTGTTCTGTTTGTAAGGAAATTATAGATCCATCTACCAACTTTTCCTATTATTCATTTGGCACGCATTTTGTGCGCTATTACATCATGGTCACACTTGTCGAAGGCTTTTCAAAGTCTGTGTATATTACATCCGCATTCTTTTTGTCTTCTAGTGCATCAAGGACCTTGTCGTAGTGATCCAGTAGTTGGGACAGGCAAGAGCAATCTGCTCTAAACCCATGTTGCCCTGGGTTGTGTAACTGATGGGTATCTAGATGGGTGGTGATCTTGCTTCTTAGGACCCTTTCAAAGGTTTTTATGATATGGGATGTTAGCGTTGTGTTTAAAATCTCCATCGATCATTAGTTTTCTTTTGACCTTGATGATTCTCTTTGTATTATTGTTGGTAGAATTACCAACAATATGTTAGGTAAAAGGACACAAGTGCAACTAATGTGACTTTTTACTGGGGCAACGTTTCGATCGACAAAGTTCCTGGAGAGCGAAATGTTGCCACATTTAAATGCCACATTAGTTGCACTTGTGTCCTTTTACCTTTTACCTTTGCCGCTTCCTCTGTGGTAGTTATCATTTGCTCTTATGTGTATGTGTGTGTATGTGTGTGTGTGTGTACTCACCTAGTTATACTCACCTAGTTGAGGCTGCAAGGGTCGAGTCCAAGCTCCTGGCTCCGCCTCTTCACTGGTCGCTACTAGGTCACTCTCCCTGAACCGTGAGTTTTATCATACCTCTGCTTAAAGCTATGTATGGATCCTGCCTCCACTACATCGCTTCACAAACTATTCCACTTCCTGACTACTCTGTGGCTGAAGAAATACTTCCTAACATCCCTGTGATTCATCTGTGTCTTCAACTTCCAACTGTGTCCCCTTGTTGCTGTGTCCCATCTCTTGAACATCCTGTCTTTGTCCACCTGGTCAATTCCTCTCAGTATTTTGTATGTCGTTATCATGTCCCCCCTATCTCTCTTGTCCTCCAGTGTCGTCAGGTTGATTTCCTTTAACCTCTCCTCGTAGGACATACCTCTTAACTCTGAGACTAGTCTTGTTGCAAACCTTTGCACTTTCTCTAGTTTCTTTACGTGCTTGGCTAGGTGCGGGTCCCAAACTGGTGCCGCATACTCCAATATGGGCCTAACGTACACAGTGTACAGGGTCCTGAACGATTCCTTATTAAGATGCCGGAATGCTGTTCTGAGGTTTACTAGGCGCCCATATGCTGCAGTAGTTATTTGGTTGATGTGCGCTTTAGGAGACGTGCCTGGTGTTATACTCACCCCAAGATCTTTTTCCTTGAGCGAGGTTTGTAGTCTCTGGCCCCCTAGACTGTACTCCGTCTGCGGTCTTCTTTGCCCTTCCCCAATCTTCATGACTTTGCACTTAGTGGGGTTGAACGCCAGGAGCCAATTGCTGGACAAGGTCTGCAGCCTGTGTGTGTGTGTGTGTGTGTGTGTGTGTGTGTGTGTACTCACCTATTTGTACTCACCTATTTGTGGTTGCAGGGGTCGAGTCTTAGCTCCTGGCCCCGCCTCTTCACCGGTTGCTACTGGGTCCTCTCTCTCCCTGCTCCATGAGCTT